TCAACTGCCTCTTACATGCCCCCTACCAGGAGTCAAGCCTGCAACCCAAGCATATGTCCTGACAGCGACCTCTTGGTACATGGGCTGGTGCTCAACCACTGAACCACACCGGCCAGGCTCTGAACAGGAAACCTCTCCAAAAAGTCCCAAATGAACCACAGTCATATCCCACTAATTAGAAAATGAGTGAAAGTATGGAACCAGGATTTACCATAAGCTAAAACCACTTACACTCTGAGTAAAACACTAAACAAAATCAGTTCTTTTACTAAGGAAGAAAGAAACGGGTATTGGGTGGGCTATAAGAACGTCTACCATATATCACATAAGAAAGATGGGCAAACCATGTATACTAGGAACTCATAAAAGAAGAAATACAAATGGTAAATAAACATGAAAAAATATTTATCATGATTAATAATTAATGAGAAATGCAAATTAAAACTAAAAAATTTCTGTCAATTTTGGCAATGATAAAAATAATGATAATCACTTACAATGGCAAAAAAGTATGTAAGATGCATAGGAATAACTCTTAAACAAGATGTGCAAGATCTACATAAAGGAAATTATAAAAGTTACTGAGCTACCCTGTTGGTGTGCTCTGAGATGGTTAGAGTGTCTGCCCTCGCACCAAAGAGTCTTCGGTTCAATTCCCAGTCAAGGACACATACTTGGGTTGCAGGTTTGATCCTTGGCCTCAGTTGGGGCGGTTGCCTGCAGAGGCAATCAATTGATGTGTCTCTCATTGATTTAGTCAGGGCACATGATAGGGTTGTAGGCTTGATCCCCAGCAAGGGGTATTCTGGAGGCAGCCAATCAATAATTCTCTCTCACTCCCTCTCTCTTCCACTCTGAAATATATATAAATCACTGGAGAAAGAATGAAGAAAAGAAAAGAAAATTGGATTCCCACCTCTCACCCTACATAGAAAGTAATTCCAAATTATGTGTAAAGGCAAATTTTAAAATATTTAGATTATCTTTATGGTTTTGTATTAGAAAAGGATTTTTTAAAATAAAACACAAAACACATCCTATATACTAAAAAGGTGATATGCAAATTGACCCTCGCATCCTCGCACAAGATGGCCACCCCCACGTGGTCAAAGATGGCCGCCACAAGATGGCCTTCAGCGGAGGGTAGTTGTGGGCAATCAGGTCAGCAGGGGAAGGTAGTTGACGAGGGGGGGGGGGATCCAGGCAGGCAGAAGTGGGCATTTGTGGACAATCAGGCTGGCAGGGAAGCAGTTAGGTGTTGATTAGGCTAGCAGGGGAGTGGTTAGGGGATGATAACACTGGCAGGCAGAAGTGGTTAGGGGCAATCAGGCAGGCAGGCGAGCAGTTGGGAGCCAGCAGTCCTAGATTGTGAGAGGGATGTCCAGCAGTTGGACCGGAATCGAACTTGGACCCTTCAGTCCGCAGGCTGACACTCTATCCACTGAGCTAAACTGGTCAGGGCTCATTGTGACGGAGCCCTGCCATGGTTGCTGGCACATGTCCAGTAGGAAGTGTGCAGGAGGCAACTGATCAATGTTTCTCTTCCATTGATGTTTCTAACTCTATCCCTCTCCCTTCCTCTCTGTAAAAAAAAAAAAAAAAAAAAAATCAACAAAATATATATTTTTTTAAAAGATCACAATGCGACAGTCTTTTATATCCACACTAGTAGCCCTCCACAGGAATCAGTGTGCCAGTAGCTCTTTGCTGGCCTCCTGTAGCTGCCCTCCTGCCCCAATCCCCCCTGTCCCCCTCTCCCCTTCTCCCCTCATAGCTTACTGCCCTGCCCCCTCCTGTGGCTTTCTGCCACCGCTCGTCCACCCTCCTGCAGATCCATGATCTGGCTGTTACACCAAGGCGTAACAGATAATTATATTCCTCTCCTATTATATAGGATGACTCTTCAAAACTAAAACAGTTGATAATACTTAGTGTTGGTAAGGATGTAAATCTGGAACTCTTTACGTCCTGCCAGAGAGCGAGCATATATTGATTTAACCACTTTGGAAGACTAGCACTATTCGTAATGGTGAACATTCACATAGCTATGACTTACCTGTTCCACTGGTATATGAGCTTACAGTCACCCATCCCCAAAAAAGATTGGAAACAACCCAAGCATCTGTTGAAGGAAAATGAATACATAAATTGTGGTATAATCACATCACACAACTGAATATTATGCAGCTGTAAAAATGAGAGAACTACAGATACATGTAACAATATGGATAAATTTCAGAAATGTCATAGTGAAAATTGTAAAAAAAAAAAAAAAATTACAGCTTGTAAAAGATTCAAAACAAGAAAAACAAATGTTATTTATAGATTGTAAATAGATAATTTTTTAAAGCAAAAGAACATCAATTAAAATGTATTTAAGTATTTATCCTTGGGTATGGGAGAAGGCAGGAAAATGAGTTAAGAAGAGCACTCAGCCGAAACCGGTTTGGCTCAGTAGATAGAGTGTCAGCCTACGGACTGAAAAGTCCCAGGTTTCATTCCCGTCAAGGGCATGTACCTTGGTTGCAGACACATCCCCAGTAGGGGGTGTGCAGGAGACAGCTGATCATGTTTCTCTCTCATCAGTGTTTCTAACTCCACCCCTTTCCCTTCCTCTATGTAAAAATCAATAAAATATATATACTTTTAAAAAAGAGCACACATTGATGTGACGGAATTGGCAGTATTTTTTTGGGGTGTGTGTGTGTTTTTCACATATATTTTCAGGGATGGAAAAAGTAGGCTTACAATTGTAATACAAATAAATAATATAATAATTAATAAATAAACTGTTACATGTACTCACAACTGTAAATCTACTTTTGCCAACCCCTGTATTTATTTAAGTTGTGGTAAAATACACATAACATAAAGCTTACCATTTAAGCTTTTTTAAAGTGTGCAGTTCAGTGGCATTTACATTGTTGTGTGATGTAAGGGCACATCCATTATCCACCACCCACCTCTAGAACTCTTCTCAGCTTGTAAAACCAAAACTTCATGTCCACTAAAAAATAATTCACCCCTCCCTCCACCCCCTGACAACCACCATTCTTTTTTCTGTGTCTATAAATTTGAGAATTTTAGTTTTTAAGATGAGAGATGGGACATGGGTATTCATTTTATTGTTATGCTTCATAACTTCCATATATATTTCACACACACACACACACACACACACACATATATATATATATAAAATAGTATTATATATAAAATAGTATGTGTCTTATTTTTTTAATGGCTCTGAAAAAATAAAGAACAATATCCAAAATTGGCCAGAACACGGTAGGTGCTAGCAAGCATATAAACTGATGCAATTTCTAAGACATTTAAAACTCAACATACAGTAATATTGACATATATTTTATGGCTTTGGGGGCATATTGTGTATTCAATTTCTGTTTCTGATTATTCATGGCTAGTATAGAGAAATATAATTGATTTTTATGTGTTAGCCTTGTATTCTTGCTAAATTCACTTATTAGTTCTAGGAGTTATTTTCGTTATTGATTCTTTGGGATTTTCTATGTAGATGATTATATCTTCTGGGAGCAAGAGTAGCTTTCTTTTTCTTTTTTCCACTCTGTATATTTTTAAATTTTTCCTTTCCTTATTACAATGGCTAGGACTTTAAGAATGCTGTTAAATAGGAATGGTGAGAGTAGACATTCTTGCCTTGTTCCTGATCTTAGGGAGAGAGCAGTCTTTTACATAAAGTACACTGTCAGGTATAGGATTTTGTAGATACCCTTTATCAAGTTGAAGACGTTCCTTTCTATTTCAAGTTTTGTGAGAGATCTTTTCTACTTAAATGTCTGTTTAATTTTGTCAAATATTTTTGCATCAATTGATATGATCATGTGGCTTAACTTTTTAGATTGTTCCTATGGTTTATTAAATGGATTGATTTTCAAATATTGAAACAGCTTTGCATTCTAGATTTAAATTTTCCTTGGCAATTATGTATTAGTCTTTTCATGTATTGCTGGATTTCGTTTGCTAATAATTTGTTGCAGGTTTTGCATCTGCTGTTCATGAGGGATACTGTGGTTTTCTTGATCTATCATCTGATTTTGGTATTGATGTATCTTTTTGGAAGGCAATTTGTCCATTGTAACAAGTCTTAAAAATGTTATGTTCCCAAGGATTCCACTTCTAAGAATTTATCATAAGGAAATAGTCAGATGGCCGTGGATTTAAATAGCAATGCATTTCCTTACCAGCTGCTTCTATTCAGTGGCCTGTTTTCTAACCTGTAAAATAAGAATAAGAGGACATACCTCACAGAGTTGCATTAGATGGGGCAATTCACACACACTTCCCAACATCTGCAAGCTTTTAGTAAATGGTAGCTCTTGGCATTCTATTATACTATACTGTCCAGCCTCTGTAGTCTGTCCAAATGGAAGGGTATCATTTTTGCTCCCAAATTGGCTCCCACTTTGAATCTCCTTATTTTGGTGGGTATGGGTCTCCTCATTTCTGATGCCTGTCTTATATTAGGTGTGCCAGGCGTTGGGAATGCAGAGGCAAAAAAGATACGATCCCTGCCCTGGAAGCTGAATCTATTAGAGGCACAAACTCGGCTTTATAAAGGGGGGTCTGCCCACGGGCAGGGGGCCCCGGACGCGCATTCTGAGCATCTGTATCGGAAGTTGGGGTAGCCACCGGAGCTGGGGATCAGGAAAGAAGGCCGCAGGCTGTTCCCACAGCAACAGGACAGGCCAAGGTCTGGCGGATTCTCGAATCACCTCTGCAGCGTCCGAGGGTCCGGCAACGGCCAGCGCGCTCCTCTGGTCCAGAGGCTTGCAGAGCCTCTGCGGTAACTGAACTGGAGCTCCGCGCCTCTGATTGGCCCAGACCGCTAGGGGCGTGGCCTGACGTGAACACCACTGGCGCTTTCCTCGCGGAGCGGAAGCCGACCTGGTGCGTCCCGGAAGTGCAAACTCGGAGGTCGCGCAGGTGGGGATTCCGCCGTCTAGGCGGCTTCTTTCAAGATGCCTGGCGCCGCGGACAAGGCCTCGGAGCTGTCCGAGAGGATTGAGAGTTTCGTGGAGGCCCTGAAGCGGGGCGGCGGGCGGCGCAGCTCTGAGGACATGGCTCGGGAGACGCTGGGGCTGCTGCGCCGGATCATCATGGACCACCGCTGGAGCAACGCAGGTGAGGCAGGCCTAGCGCCACGGCGTCCCTCCCCACCCCCCCGTTCCCCATTCCTGGCAGAGAGGCGCCCAGGCCCCCCGGAGCACCCGCTCCGCTCACCTCTTTCTGTCTTGGGCTTCAGGAGAGCTGATGGAGCTCATCCGCAGAGAAGGCCGGAGGATGACGGCCGCGCAGCCCTCAGAGACCACCGTGGGCAACATGGTGCGGAGAGTGCTCAGGATCATCCGGGAGGAGTACGGCAGGTCAGGCCCCCTCCCTGGGCCCCGGTTCGGATCCAGTGACGCTGTTGGCACGAGCCCCTCGGAGCCTTTCTTGGGGCCGAACAGGTCTAGTTGCACATCACAGCGCCTTCTCACCTCCCCCTGTGGTCTTGTTGCCTCTGTAGACTCCACGGACGCAGCGACGAGAGCGACCAGCAGGAGTCCCTACACAAACTGTTGACATCCGGAGGCCTAAGCGAGGACTTCAGCATTCCTTACTCCCAACTCCAGTCCAACATCATCGAGGCAATTAATGAGCTGCTTGTGGAACTGGGTAAGAGTCCTGATCCCTAGGTGGGCGCGACAGGTTGCAGAAAAATGAGGGGACAACAGAAGACCCTCCGGGGTGTTCGTCGGCAGAGATGGACAATAGCTAGTACTCTGGTTTCCAGGGGTTTCCCCTCCATCCTGTGAGGGAGGGCTGGAACAGGTGGTAGGACATTCTACATTTCCTTACAGACCAAACCTTTGTAGATTGCAAAGCCACTGTGACAGAGACTCCACTAGGACAGGCTTTCCTTTCTTTCTTTAAAAAAAAAAATATTTTGTTGTTAATCCTCACCTAAGGATATTTTTCCCATTGATTTTAGACAAAGTGGAAGGGAGAGGGAGAGACAGAGTGAAAAACATCGAGATGAGAGAGACACATCGATTGGTTGGTTGCCTCCTGCATGGGGCACAAGCCTGCGACCGAGGTGCATGCCCTTCACTGGAATCGAACCCACAACCCTTCAGTCCTCACACCACTGCTCTAACCATTGAGAGAAACCAGCCAGGATGCTTTATTTTTATTTAAAGAAGATGAACTCTCTAAAACTAGTAGATCCTCCTTCATTAAACTTCCTTTTGATTTTAATACCCACTCACACCACCTCCATTCCCCTTGTCTTTGTGAACCAGGAGACAGGCCTTCAGGTACTTATTGCAATCAGAGTTCTTCAGGGGAGGAAGAAGCTGGGTCTGTCTGTGCACTGAGCTGCTGCTTCCAAATTCCTTCCCTATTTTTCTTCTGTGGCCTCCCTCTCAGATGGAGGTGTGGCCACCTTTGGGGTGATTTTTTTTTTTTTTTTAAGGGGAAGTACTGTTTACCCCATTCTCAGCACTGTAGGTTTTCCCAGAATGGATCATTTCTTGTCTGAAGTCATTGTCTTCAGAATCATCTGTAAGGGAGCTGGTGTCATGCCAGGGCAGGGCGCTAAGTTGATGATGGATGGGGCACTGCTAAAAGGAGGGCAGGCTGAGAACTTGGGAGACAGAAGATCTGAGGAGCAGGGTTTTTAAGAAAATGTGGCATTTTATATTATTAAGTTTGTAAACCCCGTGTTACCAGCATCAGCTAGGAGGGCAGTCTGTGTGATGGGCACTCGTCCCCTTTGGTGCTCTGTCATGTCTGTCTATGTTGTGGCATGACGGTTTCCTATTTTCTTGTAAAACTGGCTGTCCTTGCAGAAGGGACAACGGAAAACATCGCAGCCCAGGCTCTGGAGCACATCCACTCTAATGAGGTGATCATGACCATTGGCTACTCCCGAACAGTGGAGGCCTTCCTCATAGAGGCTGCGCGGAAGAGGAAGTTCCATGTCATTGTGGCCGAGTGTGCTCCTTTCTGTCAGGTAGTGGGACGGCTGGAGGTGCTAAGAGAAATGAAAACTGAGGAGAGAATACCAGAGTGATAGATAGGATCCATGCTAACTTTGAATTGATAAGCAAGACATTGAGAAGATCATAAAAGATTAAGGGAATTTTCAAGTTCATTCTGTGAACATTCTTAGACATTGGTTTAAGAAAGTTGGGTGAACTGCTGGGTCCATCAAAAGGTAAACATAGGTTTTTTTAAGAATTAAAATAGGGTAAATTAACTTGAGGATGACTAAGTCTTGGTCTAATGTCACTCAATCCCTAGATAAATAATAGGTTTCAAGAAAGGAAATCTATAAGGAGGCAGAATGTTATAAAATAAAAAACAGGAGCTCTCATCAGCAATGCCTGATTACGCAAGCAAGTAGTATTTCCAGTTTTGGCACTGCTGTGGAGCATTAAACATTTATTAGCTTTCTCTGGGCTTCCTTGCAGCTTACCAAAGAATACCTACTACAGGCACAAAAATGAGTTAGTTATATGTTGGAAATTGTGTGTTGGATATGCTCAGTATTACAAACTCCCCAGATCCAGTTTTATTTGAGAGGTCTTTCACTCTCTCTCACTCTGTCTCAGCATCAATCAGCCTCTCTCTCTCCTCTGCAGGGTCACGAAATGGCAGTCAATTTGTCTAAAGCAGGTATTGAGACAACTGTCATGACTGATGCCGCCATTTTTGCTGTGATGTCAAGAGTCAATAAGGTGGGTGTGTTTGGAGTTATGTTGAATTTATAAAGATTATACCTCTAAAAGACTGATTTTTAATATCCATGGGAAGAGATTTTTAGCACCTTTTTAAAAATATTTTTTTTAATTGATTTTATTTATTTCAGAGAGGAAGGGAGAGGGAGGGAGAGAGAGATAAAAACGTCAATGATGAGAGAGAATCGTTGATTGGCTGCCTCCTGCACACTCCACATTTGAGACTGAGCCCGCAACTTGGGCACGAGTCCTAACTGGGAATCGAACCGTGACTTCTAGGATCATAAGTCGACACTCCACCACTGAGCCACGGCATTGAAAGTACATATTTCAACTCTATTAACTGAATTATTTTCCCTTTGTCTATATCATTGGTCCTCATTTGGAATAACCTCTTTTTGGTTAAAGCATTGAAAGAATGAAGTGAGCCGAAACCGGTTTAGCTCAGTGGATAGAGCGTCGACCTGCGAACTGAAAGATCCCAGGTTCGATTCTGGTCAAGGGCAGCTGATCAATGATTCTCTCTCATCGATGTTTCTAACTCTCTATCCCTCTCTCTTCCATTCTGTAAAAAACCAATAAAATATATATTTTTTAAAAAGAATGAAGTGGGCCGAAACCGGTTTGGCTCAATGGATAGAGCGTCGGCTTGGGGACTGAAGGGTCCCGGGTTTGATTCCGGGCAAGGGCATGTACCTTGGTTGCGGGCATATCCCCAGTAGGGGATGTGCAAGAGGCAGCTGATCGATGACTCTCTCTCTCATCGATGTTTCTAACTCTCTATCTCTCTCCCTTCCTCTCTGTATAAAAATCAATAAAATATATATTTAAAAAAAAAAAAGAATGAAGTGGGACTACTCTAAGGTCAGCTACTATGGATCCAGTAGAGGGCTCCCCCCTTATGCTCAGAGAACTTGGCAGTGGTAGATGGAAAATGAGGAAAGCTCCTCACTTCTCAGGAAGTGTGGCATATTGGTTTTTAGAGACAAGGCTAAAAGATACTGCAGTTTCCCGTTCTGTACTTTGTTCACTTTTCCTTGATAACCCACTTTTAAGCTTAAACTGTGGTCCAAAGACTAGAATCCTTTTCTTTCTATTCTATGTGACTCCTCAGGAGGCCAAGACTCAGGCCTGAGCAGTTAGGCTGTTGTGCCCAATGGCCCTGTTAAGGCTTTATCCCTGGGAGGGCTCACATTTTTTATTTTACTTTATTTAATAATTCTTTATTGTTGAAAGTATTACATATGTGTCTCCCCCCCCCCCCCCGCCCCCAACCTCCTCCAGCCTCCCTCCCCTCCCAAACCAGGCCCTCACCTCTCCATTGTCTGTGTCCATGGGCCATGCATATATGCATACAAGGTCCTTGGTTGATTACCTCCCACCCACCCACTCTCCCTGCCTTCCCTCCTGTCTCATTTTTCTTCCTGTCTCAAAGGTGATCATTGGCACAAAGACCATCCTAGCAAATGGTGCCCTGAGAGCGGTAACAGGAACTCATACTCTGGCATTGGCAGCAAAACACCATTCCACTCCACTCATCGTCTGTGCCCCTATGTTCAAACTTTCCCCACAGGTATGTCTGTCTGCCTTTACAGAGATAAGGAAGCCAAAGGGTAGGCTTGATCTCTGGGCCTTCAATCTACTCTAGGACTTTTCTTATCTTCATTCTCTCAATGGATTAGATCCAGTGGAGGCTGGAAAAAGCCACATGAGTCTTGATCCAGGAAAAACAGTCGATATTTATAACCTGTCAGCTTTGAGAAGTCAAAATTGGAAGGTCAGGACGATACATAGTTGGGGAAGGCCCACTGTTTACATTGCCACCACTCCTCATCACCCTGCCCACTTCTCAAAATGCCAAGCAAGTTAAAACTAGGAACATACAATTTGTTTTATTTGTCATAGTTCCAGGGACTGTCCTCTGAAGCCTGAATATGAGTTACTAACTGAAGAGTCATTTCATTAGTGATAAAACTATTTGCTTTGAAAATGTCAATCTATTTATAGGTCTCTCTATTTTTAATTGAGGTATAATTCATATAACATGTGATTAACCATTTTAAAATGTTCAGTAGCATTTACTACATTCACAGCATTGTGCATCTACCACTCTGTAGTTTCAAAACTTCTTCTACATCCTAGGAAAACACTTTGTACCATTAAGTAATCATTCCCTTTTCTCCCCTGGCCTCATCTCCTAGTAATCACTAATCTGCTTTCTGTCTCTGTGGGGTTGCCTGTTTTGTTTGTATGGTGTTTGTTTGTTTGTTTTAAAATGTGTTTTTATTGATTTGAGAGAGAGGAACAGAGAGAGATCAGAACATTGATGACAGAGAAACATCCATTTGCCGCTACCTGTATAACCCCTACTGGGGATCAGGTCCCAAACCCATTGAACCTGTGACCTTTTGGTTGCATAGGTTGACTCTCAACTACCGAGCCAGGCCTATTTTGGATATTTTATATGAAAGGAATACAATAAGGGCCCTTTAGCTTAGCATGATGTTTTTTAAGTTTATCTGAGTTATAGCACAGTACTTGGTTTCTTTTTATGACTGAATAATATTCCAGTGTATGGATTTACCACAATTTATCTGTTCATCTCTTGATTGGCATTTGGTTATTTCTACCTTTTGGCTTTTGTGAATAAGTTGCTATTAGCATATGTGTACAGGTTTCTGTGTGAACATATATTTTTTTATTCCTCTTAGGTACATACCTGGAAATAGAATTGCTGTGTCTTTTAAGAAAAAAAAAATTTATTTTTTCTTTTCCAGTTTCCCAATGAAGAAGACTCATTTCATAAGTTTGTGGCTCCTGAAGAAGTTCTGCCCTTCACAGAAGGTAAAAAAGTGTGTGTGTGTGTGTGTGTGTGTGTGTGTGTGTGTGTGTGTTTATTTGGAATTTTGGTTTTGGTTTCGGTGGTCAGTGGTCAGTGGAATTTAATGCTACCAGGTTGTGCTTTTTATCATACTTATTGTAGGCACTGTTCTCGTCAGCACCTTAGAGTGCCCGGAGACCTGATCTAGTTTAGGTTCCTTTTGTTTTGAAGCTAATCTCTTTTAGGTGAGTTACTGGGGCTATGGAGGGTTGATCACCCAGCATTGAATGGGGTCGGCTTTGCATGTTGTTTTGAGACACAGGCAGCAACCCTTGGGAAATGTACTTGTTTTCAGTTGCTGTCTGAAGTCATTTTGGTGATGTGGCTGCCAAAGGAAGCGGGCTCTGAAATGTCCTGACTTCTACAACCTGCCTATGACTCGGATGCCCTTTGTGTTGGGGTCCTTTCTCTGACTTCTGAGGCAGCAGCTGTGTTCAGTGAGCCTCATCAAGTTAACATGGCCTTACACACCCTCTGGGAGCAAAGCATAGTATGTAGGGTGCTAATTCTTCTTGGAAGTTGAATAACTTCATCCATTTATTTAAATATTCATTCTTTCAGAAATATTTATATCTATTGAGCACCAACTATATAGGGACATGACAATGAACAATACAGATAGGCCCTGCTCCCACAGGGCTTACGTTCTCTTACGGCAGATGGACAATGAAATCTCATGTCATGGAATGCTTTTGAGAAAAAAACTAATGATATGAGATAGAAAGTGGCTAAGAGACTACCTTAGATTGGAGAAGTGTCTTAATGAGATGACATTTCAGCTGAGTTCTGAATGCGTAGAGCCCCACTGAAGGTCAAGGGGAGAGTTTTCTAGGCATTGGTGCGAAGGGACTGAGTTAGGTACATGTTTAGTCATTTGGGGGGAAAGTGGCCATATGGCTGGAGAGGAATGAACAAGAGGTAGACTGGTATGATTTGTAATTAGTGTAGAGTGGTGGGATCTGGAAGGTTGCAATCCTAAGTTTGAATTCTATTCTAAGGGCCAAAGAAAAGCATTGGATAGTTTTAAACAGGGATTATGATCTGAAGTCATCTGTTCTGGTTTGCATTTGTCGCAGCTTCCCTTCCTTGAGGTAGCAAGTATGCCTGCATTATTGAGCCTAGAATCTACATGCTACTAAATCACTAGAGCAGGATCCTCAATTTTATCTTTCTAACCTGTGATTGCCTTTCAGGGGACATTCTGGAGAAAGTCAGCGTCCATTGCCCTGTGTTTGACTATGTTCCTCCAGAGCTCATTACCCTCTTTATCTCCAACATTGGTGGGAACGCACCTTCCTACATCTACCGCCTGATGAGTGAACTGTACCATCCTGATGATCATGTCCTATGACACCACTCATCCTAAGCAGAAACTGCTTAGGCAAACACAGAATGGAGACTTCAGTGCCACTGCTGAAATGTATTTTCCTTGTAATGGGGGAGTGAACTGGAGTCAACCTAAAAAAAAAACTGGATACTATTGCGTACCTTTTTAGTCACGCCATAACAGGGATGCATATCCAGGGGTGGGTGAGTGAGTGAGTGAGTGTGTGTGTGTGTGTGTGTGTGTGTGTGTGTGTGTGCTGGTCTTAACAGAGCAGCAGGGCTTAACCTATTGTTTTTGGAGCTTCTTCGTGACCTGGGGTGTGTGTTTCAGGAACTTAAACTTTCTGGTTCAGTGGTGTGTTAAACATAACACTGAACAGCCTGCTGCTGGGATACAGGTTTTTGCTCAGAATGGCTACCACACCTTTTCGTAGGCTGTGCCAATAAAAGCCGCTCGAAGGTTCCTGGCTTGGTTTATTTATTGTTCTGCCTTGATTGAACTGCCTGAAACAGCAGCAGCAGACAGAGCCTTTTCGTGTTTCCATAGAGGGCTGTAATTAGGAACAGCCTAAAACAGAGAAGTACAAATGAAGTATTTACAGTTTCCTTTATAATTTACTGGAAATGGTCCCAAACAACTTGTTAGTAATCTAAGAGTGTGGTTCCAAAACCTCTCTGGTCATTAGAACCATCTGGGAGCTTAAAAAAACAAACATTCTTGGGCTCCGTCCCAGACCCACTACATCTGATCTCCAGGGTGGCACCTGGGAATCTGTCTAAAGCTCCCTGGAAAAGGACACCCTCGTGTACTGTTAATAGGATTGTAATCTGATACAGTCTTTTCTAGGGCAGTTTTGAATCTGTATTTCTGGAATTATTTGTACAAGTGCACAAAGGTATAGACGAGACTGTCTGTTTTAGCAGCTGTAGTATCACAAGCTTAAGGGTTCAGCAGTAACATTTTGTATTCAGTTAAAAGCAAGAAAGGTTTTAAAATAATGACGTACCATGGAAGATTATGTATCCACTGCATTAGAGGTTTCAAAGGGTGACTTGAGGGCAGTGTCTGGATTGAAGACATTTTGGCTGGTTCACCCAGTATTTAATTTGAATTAGTTTTCAATACTTAAATATCTGGAGATTGCACATTAAACAAATTTAATTTCTTGCTTCTTTTGAGAACTCAAAAGGTCTGGCGATTCTGAATCCACATTCCCAAGAGGCAGCAGTTGGCTAGAGTTGGGTAGCTTCTCATTTCATTAGATGGAAAACCTCCAGCTTTCTGCAGTTTCCTCCCTGCTCCATTTAACTTATTTATGTTATCTGCCTAACCCCCGTAAGGCATTTGATATATGAGCCTTGTGTTAATGAATGGCATATATTTGTAAGAAAGTCCATTTTATATTGTTAAAAACAAGATGGGAAACAAAGCAAGCTGCAGAGCCACATGCTTAATATGATCCTTCATTAAAACAAAACATGTAGCCCTAACCAGTTTGGTTCAGTGGATAGAATGTCGGCCTGCGGACTGAAGGGTCCCAGGTTCGATTCTGGTCAAGAGCATGTACCTGGGTTGAGGGCACATCCCCAGAAGGGGGTGTGCAGGAGGCAGCTGATGGATGTTTCTCATCTGATGTTTCTAACTATACCTCCCTCTTCCTCTGTAAAAAAATCAATAAAATGTATTTTTTTAAAAACAAAACATGTATTTGCATAGGATAAACGTCATAGTAACACCAAACATTGGCAAGCAGGAAGACATCTCGTTTTCTTTAGTATGCTTATATATAGTTTCCATATTTTATGTGTACTACTTTAGTAATTACATCTTTTTAAAAGGTCCAAGGCAGATTTGAGCGTGCAGGGAAATCCCCGGAACGCTTGTCTCAGAGGCTAGCCGCCTGCCTCTAGGCGGTAGGGGGGAAAGAGCAGCAGAGTCTGCGTGTTTAACAAGCACCCCATGGGACTAACAGGGAATTTGATAACCACACTTGGGTAAACACTGGCCAGAAGCACTCTACTCTTTTGATATCTACTTAGCTCTTTGCTTTGGGGCACTTGCCTTCCCTGAGGGAGGGGAAAAAAGCAAGACCTGGAGAGTCAGTCTAAAAGACTGACCTAAAAGTGCTATGATTCTCAGGAGCCTGACTCACTCAGGCCTCAGTCTATCAATTATTTCTCACAGCATCTAAGACCCCAGCTTTCTCAGTGAAGTGGTTTATAGCTGCCAATTACGAGCAATCATGTCCTCTGAAGGCACTAATTCTAACAGCAATTCACTTGGATATAATTGTGTGGTCTAGAGTAAGAGAAGCAGTGAGTCAAGGAACTTAAATGTTTCTGGCTCCAAAAATGCTTTATGATACTTGTTCTTTGTGCATCTTAGTCTCCCGGTTAAAATTAGCACCAACATCCTTCTCAGGCATGACTGGGATGGATGAAGGTTACAAGGGTAGAACATAACTGCATAAATGCATATTCTCTAGACTTCAAGTAAATCCCACAAAGCTATTTATGTCTCATTTTTTTCTCTTTTCCGCTCTCCTCTTCCTATTTGAGGAAGAATAAATATTGGAAAGGGAGACTCTGATCTGAACAGGAAGAAATGTTTCACATCGACTAACTACCTGTCAGCCCTTGTGCCCACCTTACTCCCCACCTTCGCAGTAAGAACCCAGAAACTCATTAAAAAACAAAAACAAAACTTTTAGCTTAGAGAGAAGTAATAGAAAAGATGCCAAGCATGTGAAAGGTTTCATGACTATGCTAAATAAACCAAGTTAGATAACTTACTCAATACAGTTTGTAAAGACACTTTTTCCCACGGTTTGTATCTTCCAATTTGGGCGGGGGCAGAAAAGGCACAATTCTTGGAACTCAAATAAGGAACAGAAATTCCTAATTTAGCCTCAAAAGAGAAGTCTCTGAAAAAATACTCTACCAAGAAAAACTCAAGTGTAAAGTGATACCTCAAAGAAATACATGCCAGTACCCATAGGATCGTAGGTTTCACAGATGTGCTTCAAACCCATTTCTCAAGCAATCTGCTGCATCGGTGTGTGGGTAATGAAGGCTGCTAGTCACACCGTTTCGTCGTTGAGCTGTGTGGTTCTATAATACCACATATGTGAAACTCGGTACAGCAGAATTGCGTTGCCTTTATAAAGATGGGGCCAGATGGTGGTGTGATTATTGTAAAGGCCCATATTATCCACCTGTCCTCACAAAAACTCCCTCTGCAGACATGCACCTAGTTCACATAAAGGAGCTATTTTGAAATGTGCCTTGGAAGTGTTTTATACCTGGCCTGCTTTACTTTGAATTATTCTTTCATTCACCAAACAGCTGTTCCAGGGTGTTGTGCAATGGCTAAGCAATTATTATTAATAAAGAGCTATAGTCTTACACTTTCAGTCTTCACGCCACTCTCACAGTGCAGGGCAGCATTTGAGCCTAACCACACTTGAAATGATGATTGCTTGATGTTTATTAAACTAAAGGCCCAGTGCATGAAATTCTGGCACTGGAGCAGGGGGGTCCCTCAGTCCAGCCTGTGCCCTCTCGCAGTCCAGGAGCCCTCAGGGGATGTCTGACTGATGGCTTAGGCCCACTCCTCCCCTCCTTGCCCCCCCAGTAGGGAGCAGGCCTAAGCTGTCAATTGGACATGAAGGCAGGAGAGGCTCCCACTACCCCCACCACTGCTTGCCAGCTGTGCGCCCAGCTTCTGGCTGAGTGGCGCTCCCTATGGGAGCGCACTGACCACCAAGGGGCAGCTCCTGCATTGAGCGTCTGCCCACTGGTGGTCACTGTGCATCATAGCAACTGGTAGTTCTGCAGTTTGATTGATTTGCATATTAGCCTTTTATTATATAGAGGATACTGTGTGGAAGAGAAGGATCCTTTCAGTAGCGGTTTTTGTTTTTGTTCAGGCATGTTACATTTTGAATCAAGACCTGCCTAGAAAAAAACTTGATAAGATTCCTGAGATTCGTAATCTATGTTAAATTCTGCAGTTTACTACTACAAAAGAAAGGTGATGAGCTACCTTGAATAATGATAAACTAATAATAGTAGCTAGCTCCACACCACTTTTTTGTGGGACCATCATTACCCGCTTTTGAAGGGAACAAGAGCATGTGTTTAGTCAGGCAAGTTGTGTGGGCAGAGCCAGGCCAAACCCAGCTGTTTCAGACTGCTACTTGAGTCACTAGCTTCCTGGCTCCATAGATTCCAATATGTAAGACACTCAGATTCCCATGGGCTCTGATGGGGTTGCCTGAACTTTATCAAATGTTTCTGAGTGCTCTTTGACAAATGGGCATGCGTTGAAAATGCCCAAGGGTTTGAAAAATACCAAGCCATAGGATAACCCCTTCTTTCTTTATACCCTCCACAATTTTTGATGCAATATATTTAGGAGGGACTCAGGAGTTCCTGAAAGATGAAGAAAGAAGTGTTTATTTGGTACACATTATCCAGATTTGTGGTTTCCCAGATTTGTGTTCCTCTCTTCTGAGCTCATCTTTTTGCCATCTCACTGTTAATGAGCAGCTTCAGCTCAGGGAGGGTGGAAATAGGACATACAGCGGCAAACATGCCAGTCAGTTCTCATTGCTAACCTGCTTTTGTAAAGTTTTGATGGAATGGGGTGGGACTTCAGGTGGGAGCAGGGAGAAAATTCTTTGTGCCAGGAAATGCCATTCCTTTCTCTCAGATGTGCTGTTACCGGTGAAGCGTCTGCTGAGCTGGGCTGTCAGTGCTCTCTAAGAACTGACTGGATGCATCTGTTCTCATTTGGCATGACTTCCTCAGCCCCCTACACATCGCTAGAACTTGGCCCCCTCCTTGGCCCTGTTCTGGTTGACTGGTTTGTTTCACTCTGTTAGACTCAGATCCCAGCTGTTCTTTGTTCTGACGCTCTGCCTTGCTCTGAAGTCTGATTGCTGAGGCCTCTCTCCATTGTCAACTGCTGGTGGAGTCCCAGATGCCCAGCTACATTCAGGACCTCGCCCTAGCCCTCTCCTC